TTTTGAGACAGAGTCTCACTCGGTCGCCAGGCACCAGGCTGGAGTGCAGTAGTGCAATCTCGGCTCACTGCAGTCTCCACCTCCTGGGTTCAAGCAATTCTGCCTCAGCCACCTGAATAGCTGGGACTACAGGCGCGTGCCACCATGCCCAGCTAATTTGTGTGTTTTTTTTTAGTAGAGACGGGGTTTCACCTTGTTGGTCAGGATGGTCTCGATCTCTTGACCTCGTGATCCACCCGCCTCGGCCTCCCAAAGTGCTGGGATTACAGGTGTGAACCACCGTGCCCAGCCGCCTTTTCTTTATTCTCACAGGATCCCCTTACAGTTTGTTTATTCTTGATACATGCTGCCCCACCCTGAGCCCATGCTAGAAATTTAGAGAAGTTGTGTGATGTCCTAAAGAAGGAAGGTTCCCCCAACCTGTGTAAACAAATTGAGAGTTGGAAGTGAATGATCCCCACAGGGGAGAAGCCAAAGGCTCCTTTACTTTTGGTTTGTCCCTTTCCACATGGGGATTCTTTTTCTGGTACCTTTCTCTGTTTAACTTTTGGTAGGTTTTGTATTTTATTGAATGGAAGTGTCTGTTTTCTTAAACTGACCGTAAACAACATCTCCTAAATAAGTCTCAGAATTGCCAGGGGCTAAGGAGCAGCATGCTTAGTTCAGCTGTGCTATTATGAACTTTAAATTTTTGAATTTTCTTTTAACACTTTTAAAGAATGATTTAGATATCTTCACTGGGGCCGGGGAGAGTTGGCTTACACCTATAATTCCAGCACTTTGGGAGGCAGAAATTGGAGGATCGCTTGAAGCCAAGAGTTCAAGACCAGTCTGAACAACAATGTGAGGCCTTGTCCCCCCCCCAGAATTTTTTTTTTCAATTAGCTGGGCATGATGGGGTATGCCTGTAGTCCCAGCAACTGGAGGGTCTGAGGTGAGAGGATCACCTGAGCCTAGGAGTTTGAGGCTGCAGTGAGCCATGATTGTACCACCACATCCCAGCCTGGGCAACAGAGTGAGACCCTGTCTTTAAACATAATAATAACAACAACATTTGCACATATGAATTAAATTTTTCTATTAAAGGCCCATTTTTAACAATGATACTTAGTGATAAACAGTGATATTTTTTCAGATTGCCATTTTGACATCATATGGCTTATATGC